GCTTTTCTTCTTTCAGCCAATTATTTTCATTCTTATTTTCAGCTTAATGGGGCTGTTTCATAAATCAAAGGCTTCAGCTTACTTAGTTGTTATATATTTTAAGCTTATATTGGTTGTTCTCTTCTCCCCCGGTAAAGGGTTACTCACGGCTCCGTGCCAGATATGGCGCCTGCTCCGATCCGTGCTGGGTGATTTCTTCAGAGGGAAGAAGTCCAGGTTTGCATCCCTTTCTTCTCCTTCTGCTGCTCACCATCTGCTTCAGAGAGACTTCTCCTAGATTCTCCTTCGATCCCCATTTCAAAAAGGGGATCCCGGACCGGACGGTTCCAGTTTTTCCAGAGAGAGCTCTTCTCTGGAGCTACTGGCAGCACCTCAACAAAGCCCCGCCTCTCCATAAGACATGGGTTTTGACATATTTGAGAACTTTTTAGAAATAGAAAGACTTAAAATTTATGAAAATAGAAAATAAAAGACCTGGCCAACAATGATCTGTGTGGCATTCTAGCATTTGCAAAGTACTGATAGAAATGGTGCCTAACTTACCACATTGTCTAGAACTTCCTAGTTTATTCGGACTCACTCCCTTTTTATTTTGGTTCTTCCCAAAGTGGACCTGAAGTAGAAACTGACCCTAGAAAAACAATTCAGGGTTTGTTGGTTTGTTTGTTTTAAGCAGGGCTGCAATTGACAGTAATGTGTGCCTCCAGACATAGTAGGGAAGTGTAAGGAGAAGAATTCATGTTCTTTCTAACTCAAGCCTTGTTCCACATGAAAACTATTATAAAAATAAATAGGTTTATAGTGCAGAATGAATATGCGCCAGTCAGTGGAGCACAAGAAGACTAACTTGGGTATTGAATTTGGCCTGGGAAGGATGCATTGAGTGGCGAAATAGATTGACCTCTGCTGTAACTCAAGTAGTTTTGGGTTTTGGTGGGAAAGACTAACTGACATCAGGTTACCTCTAGCCTGTAATATTAATAATTTTTTTGGGGGGGGCAGGGTTTCAATGCTGTCATTACCCATTACAGCCTAGTCTGCCATATGACAATAAGGAACTATTTGCAAACTCCATTATAAGTGTTCAAAATGAAACAAGATGTTAATAGCATCATTTTGGGAAGGAAGGAGAGGTGGAGGTGGAGAAGAAGAAGGAAATTGGTCTGCTCAAGCCCTTACAGCCAATATCCTTGACATGGGATTAGGGTGCAAGTGGATCCATGGGGCTGAAGACCACCTGTCTGTGTATTAAATGGGGACCAACACTCCTCCCAAGTATCCTTTCAGAAATATCTGCTCCAACACATGTTGCTGTGAAGTATAACACAAGACAGTGTGGATATTGATCCTTAGTTGAGGATTGTGTGGTTGTTATTTACCTGTACTGTTTTCATTTTGTTACGTAGTATTGGTTGCTCAGTTTTGGAACGGATAGTCACTTTCAGACCTAAAAAACTAGGTCCCACTCCAGGGCCAAAGGGATATACTTTCTGCCATTTCTTTTGTGCTAATGAAATATCTGGGCCACAGCAACAGCGCATTTGCAGCCTTCTCTGTCTTCTCTTCTCCTCCCACATCCCTCCAGGTACAGTTGGGTCATGTTGCCAGACCATCTTGCATGACTGTTGCTTTATGGCAGCGAGGGTGAAACTATGGCACGTGTGCCACAGCTGGCACTCAGAGCCCTCTCTGTGGGCACACGAGCCATTAGTCGCCATAGAGAAATACTAACCTGTCCTCCGATCCCGGGTTTTGGCACTCCCCTCTGCTGGTGCAGTGGTTCAGTAGAGGGGTGCAGTGGTTGACCATTACCAATCCAGCCTGATGGGGGATTGGAGGACCCATAAGTATTTCTTTGTTAATACTGCCCATGGGGGGAAGGGAGCATTTAACCCTTGCAGTGGAGGAGCAGTTGTTTTTTCTAAACTAAAACCTCAGTATTTGGGTTTTAATTGCAGTGTTGGCACTTTGAAATAAATAAGTTGATTTTGTGTTGCAGTTTGGGCACTGGGGCTCAAAAAGGTTCACCATCACTGCTCTATGGTAGCATTTTAGGACAAGTTTTTCAAAAGTAAGAAAAACAGTTTGATCAATCTCACTTGCCTAACCATGGTTGGAACGCTGTTGGGTGGGGGTTGGGGGGCTGCCCAGGACACTGTAGAACCACAGCAAATTAAATAACTAACAATTTGCTGCCTCAGATTTGCCGCCTGAGATTGTCCTCACTCAACCTAATACTAGAGTCAGCCCTAATATGGCTCTTTGATTATAATATGACACTTTTAGGATCAGGTTTCACCAGTATAAAATGATGCAGGGGATGGATGAAGTGGAGAGAGGGAAGCTCTTTTCCCTCTCGTGCAATACCAGAACCAGGGGACATCCACTCAAGTCAAGTGTCAGGAGAGTGAGAACAGACCAAAAGAAAATATTTCTTGACCCAGCATGTGGTTAGTCTGTGCAACTCCTTGCCACAAGATGTGATGATGGCATCTGGCCTAGATACCTTTAAAAGGGGATTGGACAGATCCCTGGAGTAAAATTCCATCGCAGGTTACAAGCCATGATAGGGATGTATAATCTCCAGGCTTAAAAGGAAGGTACCTCAAAATGCCAGATGCAGGGGAGGAGTATCAGGAGACAGGTATCTCGTGTGTACCCAAGAGGCATCTGGTGGGGCCATTGTGAGATAGAGAAAGCTGAACTATATGGGGCCTGCTGATCAAGCAGGTCTCTTCTTATCTTTTCTTAAGTTTTTCTCAACAAAAGGTAAGGATTTCAGAAGGCTTTTATACTGACTGTAATTCTTCATTTTCTTCCTGCTCCTTTATGCCTTTGGATAGTCACAATTGTTTTTGAGGAATGACTCCAGAACCCAGCACTGAATGCAGGGTGGGGTAGTGGTGGCTTTGTGGCTAACAGTTACAGTGGGGTCTCTACTTAAGAACTTAATCCGTATTGGAAGGTGGTTCTCAAGTTGAAAAGTTCTTATGTTGAATCTGCATTTCCCATAGGAATGCATTGAAAACCATTTAATCCGTATCTGCTCTTTTCCGTCCATAGAAACTACAGTGGAACCTCTACTTAAGAACTTAATCCGTTTTGGAATGGTGTTCTTAAGTTGAAACGTTCTTAAGTTGAAGCAAAATTTCCCATAGGAATGGACTGAAAACCAATTAATCCGTTCTGGCTGTTTTTTTGTTATGTAGAGGTGTGTTCGTACATTGAAGCATTAGTTCCCATAGGAACTAATGCAAAGCTGGTTAATACGTACTCTACCACTAGGGGGAGAATTTTTTTTAACCTAAGATGACCTAAGGTTAAAAAAAGAGCAGGAAAGGTTTTTTTCCCCTGTTCTTATCTTGGATTTCTGTTCTCAAGTAGAAGCAAAATTTAGCAAATGGAGCTGTTCTTAAGTTGGATTGTTCTTAAGTAGATACGTTCTTAAGCAGAGACCCCACTGTACCATCTCTCTCTCTCTCTCTTCTCTCCCCCCCACTTCAAGCTCTGGGTCTTACACTGTCACATACCCTAAATCCTCACACAAGCAAACAATTTGTTCTGAGCCTATGGTGCCTTTTTTATGGATTGTATTTTGGAGCTAATATCCTGTTCAGTGACTTTTTCTTTCCTTTTTTCCTCTGGAACAAAGTTCATATTTTTGGATTCTCAGAAGACGTGACCCAGAATTCCCCCTGAAAATAGAATTGTTTGAGCTTTTTTCCCCCTTGCACCCAATTCATGCCAAGTCGGTACCAGTTGAGGGGGGGGGGAATCCCTTTATACAATGCTGTCGTGCGGCCAAGAGTTGAAAGATTTTTCTCATTTTCCTGGCGGGCAGAAGGCCAAACTATAGAATTATTTTGTAACCCTTGAAGGGCATCTGACTCCAGCCAGGGCTTATAGCAAAAGACAGTATTTTAAGCTAAATACTGTATATATTGGGAAAACTTATTGGAATTTGTCATGCCAATCAGTTATCTAGTTCGATTATTGTTTATTAGGTGTGCATATGCATTGTTCTGGTTATACTATACAGCAGGGGTTATACTATATCCCAACCTTTTTGGAACTGCAAACCGGTTGGGGGTGGGTGGGCTCCATGTGCAGGGGGCGGGAGCATCTCTGTGCTTGAGGGGGGCTTGTTGCACTTGCAGGAGGGTGGGGGGCAGAGATCCGTCTTCGCAGCCCAGTCCTGGGAAGCCCACAGACTGGCACCAGGAGTTGGGGACCCCTGCTATACAGTAGTTGTATATTTTTGGTATTTAGTATTGTATATCACAGCTTCGGAATATATTTGTAGAAATGACGAACATTAAACTATACACACGCCACCCTGGTGTTGTTGTTGTTAAAAAGTTTAGGAGAAGCAGAATGTAAACATGCTAGCCAATGAATTAACTGTGCTGATAGTAGCTGACACCACAATTTGCATTGAATAAAAGCCTCCCATTTTAGTTGCCACCTGTTTTTAAATGTAATATTAACTTAATTTTAATTTTTGTTTTGATTACATTTGTGTTATTTTATGTTATTGCCACTGTTTGTGAACCACCCAGAATAACCCATCAGTCAGATGGGCGGTATAGAAAAATGAATGCATGAATGAATTAATGAATGAATTTGTTGTTTGTTTGTTTGTTTGTTTGGCTTTTACCTCGCCCATCTAGATTCAAACGAATCTACTCTGGGTGGCTTGCAAGATGGGCAATATAAAATAAGAAGTGAAACAAGCAAAAAGAAACAAAAAAACCCCAAACAAACAAAAAGAAAAGTAAGCAAAGTCCAAGATGGGGAAACACAAGGAACTAAGTGATGGAAGGGGGAAGGCGTGCCTGAAGAATCAAGTCAGAATGAATGAATGAACGGTGCCTCCTTCCCCAACTGTGGGTTCTCCGAAACTAAACTCTATTAAAAACAGTGAATAAGAATTCTGATACAATTTCTGTCTCACTTTTCAGATTTTTCTGCAATGACTACAGCAAGATACAGACCAACTTGGGACTTGGTGCTTGATCCTCTTGTGTCGTGTAAGCTTTGTCTTGGGGAATTTCCAGTGGAGCAGATGACAACGATAACACAATGCCAATGCATCTTCTGTACTCTGGTGAGTAAGGGTCAGACTTTGCCTACACCGTGGCTGCCTCCTGTTCCACACCCCAAACTCCCCATCAGTGCTGCTGTCTTTGTGGATCTGTGGGTTGGCCTTCTCTTGCTGTCTCCTGTGAAATGTCTGATGGGGATCATTCTGTAGGCACGTGGCAAACATATGGCTTAGTCCTGGGCTACTGGAATTCTTCTGCATCTTCAGTCGGATCCATGTGCTCAAATCCACATGTCTGAGCCTGAAAAGAGAGCGAGAATTTGGGGCCACTTAAAGGATGATTAGAGTGTTTGTGTTAGCAATGCTTATTAGATGCATTGAATAAACGGTGCCCATTTCCCAGCCGTGGAACAGTTGAGCAGAAATCTCTGGCACTGGAAAAGAATACTTATGTGATGTTACTGATAGCATTTTTGGAGGCAATGACAGTGACAAAACGTGATAGAATAAAATAGTAACATTTCCTGCTATTAAGAAAATGGGAATGGTGCCATGACTAGGATGTTGGTTGAAAACTTGAGAACAGGGATTCACATCTCTGCTTAGCACAGGTGGACCTTGATTATCTTTTAGCCTAATCCAGCTCACACATATGTTGTGTAACCTTCCTGATTACACAAGAAAAAGAATAAGATAAAAATAGAACAGATAATGAAAAATATCAGAGTAAAGTGGTAAAGACACATGTTTAGCATACTACTCTTCCATGGCACTTGTGCAACGTAGGCCATTTTGTTCTAATCTGTTTCACAAGGTTGCTGAGAAGATTAGAATGGGAATAATTCTTATCAGCTTTCACTCTTTAGATAAAGGAACAGAGGGATGTAGATTCGATGATAATGGCAGTATTATATCAGACAGTCTTCCAATGGTAGTATTTGGTGACTGTATCAGATTTTTAGATGGGCAGACACTAAGAGTGGATTTGGGCCTGGCTATTATGATCAATATATTTTATTTGAGGGTTTGTGTTTGTTCATCCATGTGTCTCCCCCCTCCCCAAAAAAAACCCATTTTGCTGAAAGAGTGAAGTAGAATGAACATGTCTTGCATCAGCACGGGTTGCAGCTGAGAGGCAAGAGAACAGCCACATAAATCATGGCACGAAGGGTGGATATCTGAATTTCAAAAAGCAGCGGAGTCATGGAAAAGAAAAGCCATCTGGTTAAGGTCAAAAGTATATAGAGAACAACATGGGCAGGAATTATGGGGGAGTCAAACTGCCTCCCTCGAATCAAAAATACCAAAGGTTCCTTTAGTATGTCTTGGGAAGGGCAGCACTTACAAAAGGGAGCAGAAGGATAGTAAGGATTTAGTTCTGTGCAGAGATCCCCTTCCTTCATTGACCAAAATCATCAATATCAGTGTCCTCCACATTCTACTATCCGTGGAATGTGTTTTTTAGTTGTGTGGGACTGAATGCAACTCATAATGACTAGAACATTTGTGATTATAATATGTTGAGTATAAATTTTTCCTCTTGGGGGGGGAACCCAGTAAACTAATTTAGCTTCAGTCTTGGTTTTTCTCTTGCTTTAGATGAAAAGGATTTTGATTGGCTTTATTCAAAGTATTATTTTTTTGGTAGAAGAACAGTGGAAGACTACAGTGTATAATTTTCTGTGATTTGTGCTGATATTTCTCTGCATTCCTTTATTTAAAATGTTTATATGTCCGTCCCCATCAAAATTCCAGGGTGGTGGTAGAGAAATCTTAAACAAAAATCTGGCACAAAAATCCACAGCAAAACTGAGAAAGTCTCAATATGCCAGCTTTTTGAGTGATTGCAGAAAAGAGGACCCATATGCCTGATGAATGGCTTCTGTGACCTGTCTTAATGGGAGAGATTCAGAACCAGCAACAGAGAAAGGCTTGAGTGTCCATTGTGCTGAACTTTGAAACAAGCACCGGGGACTAGAAGTGGGTGTGGAAGCGTTGGTGTGTGGTGAGCATTAATGGCCACCAAGCCACATTGGACCATGTGGAACCCGTTAATTGAGGATATAAGGTGCCACAGGCTTCTTTTGATCTCCGTAACACCGTTAAGAAAACTCTCCAGTAATGGAGCTGAAGTAAAGGAGGGCCCCTGCCACACTCTAGCAGATGTTACTGGCCTAAGAACGCCATCCTCCACCTTGTCTTCCTTGATTATCCTATATTACTCAAGTTCAGGACGGCTTCAGGAAAGGGTTTGGCCCAAACGGGACTTTTCTTCAGTATTTTTTTCCTTTGTTTTATCAAAAGAGTTCTTCAGTCAACCAGGCAGTTGTTTTTCATTCTAGTCACAGTTTCCCTAACATCCTCTGATGTGGAACCACTAGCATATTTTCTGAGTATTTTGTTGAGGGCACCTGCTGGAAATGCTGGTCACTTTTTCTCCACCTCTTCTTAGATATATGTCTAATCCAGTGCCATTTAAAGGAGCCATTCCTCACACTGCCATCGCAAGCTTTGCATAAGTCATGTCTGTGATTAAAAATGACTGATATTCTCAGGAAATTGTTTCTGGCCAGCCAGGATTAGGATTAACTAAATGACCACAGAGAGACTCATTTTAAGCCAGCATTTTCCTGCTAGATTGAGGGGGGGGGGATTTGAGAGTTTTCCCAGGATGTCAGGTTATTTTTCTTTGGTGTAAAGATGATACATAGGACATTAACTTAGCATTTTTGTGAGACTTTCTTGGAGAGGAAATTGCCACAAACAAGGTAGATTTGATTTTTTTTTTAAAAAAAAAACCTTCAAACATATCATTTGATAGTTAAGCTTTGCACATTCTCTAGGAGGCTCCTATCGAGTTTGGTTGAGCCTTTTTCTGTCGCTCTTGCCACAGTGTCCTTTTCCCTTCTAAATATTCCACAAACACCCAAAATGTAGTTGTGAAGCTGCTAGTCCAGATTGGGAACTTCTAGGACCTGGGAGAGGGCAGCTTCCAGCCCCATTAGATGCTTTCTCTGAATCACAGTGCTAATATTCCTCTTATTCCTCTCAGTCACTGACCTAGAGGGTCTTTTTAAAAGTAAACTTACTAGAATAACCTTATATAAGATCGCTGTCCCGGGTACCCATCAAAGTGAATTTTATGTCTTGAATAACAAATCCACTTGGTAAATGCAGCTGTAGTAAACCCATTGAATAAATTGGACCTGTTAAGTCAATAGTTACAGGAGTCCTGTTCATTTAGTGCAGTGGTTCCCAACCTTGAGTAACCTAAGTGTTTCTGGACTGCAGTTCCCAGAACCTTTTTGGGCCCAAGTGCCCAAACCTTGGGGGGGGAGGACGGGGGGCCGTGGCGGAACCAGAAGTGCCGTTGGTGGAACCAGAAGTGGTAGCGGAAGAGGTGAATCCTGGGCACAGAGGAGCCTCGAGACCCCACTCCAGGGGGAGGACAGGGGGTTGTGACGGAACCAGAAGTGCCGTTGGTGGAACCGGAAGTGGTAGCGGAAGGGGTGAATCCCGGGCACAGAGGAGCCTCGAGACCCCACTCCAGATCTACCGCCAGCACCAGCTGCTCCAGATCCTGGCCCGCTGCCTGTCAAAGCACCAGCACCACAGCTGCAGCCACCTCCTGAGGTTTGGCTGTGGTGGTGGTGGGGAGTAGCAATCCAGCAACTTATGGCTCACATGCCTGCAGAAAGGGCTCTGTGTGCCAGCTGTGGCACGCGTGCCATAGGTTTGCCATCACTGGTTTAGTGGATCCAGCAATTAGCTAAAGACCTAAAGGACAAAGAATCTCAGCTTACATTCAGCCTGTGCAACATTGGTGTATAGACGACATAGGCTTCATTCTTCCTTCCCTCCATTGTTTCCTATTTCTGTCTCACTGTGTTTTGCAGAGCTAGTTTTTCTTTGTATTGAGACAAAGGCGAAAAGGAAACTAACCACCGTTAAGTCCAGTCAGTCTCCCCATTTGCACAGTGAAGCTACCTGACTAATTTCATGTGTCATTTTTCTAGCCCTCTATCTATGTAAGGAGCTGGCTGGATAGCACAGTGAGTTGGACCTCTGGCTGCAGAGTCAGAACTTGTCGGTTCAATTCCCCCTCTGGGCCTCCAAGAAAAAGATTCCCCACCTCCTGTGTAGCCTTGGGCAAGCGACAGTATCTAAGGGCACCCCCGAAGAAGGGAACGGCAAACCACCTCTGAGCACCGTGTACCTAGACATCCCTGGAAAGTACCTCGGAATTGACCGGATGGCAGATGCTTTATTATGAAATCTGTAAAGAGGAGCTAAATGTCATAGACTGGCATTCGTGGATTTGAAATTCTGGTCCTTCTAAAGCTCGCTGTCGTGGAGTTTGTTTAAATGCTGCACCTCTTGTTACGGGCCTTTGTGTTTAAAGCTTAGCTCAGTTGTCTCTGGCAGAAGAACTGGGCCTCTGCTCCTTCATATTGAAACTAATAGAGAGGGAGGGAATGACATCCATTTCTGGGTACAGGTATCTCTGTGCATATTTCTTTCAGCTGCATTGCCATACAGATTGTTGCCCTGCAAAATGCAAAAGATTGTCCGTGTGATTAACTTCAGCAGCAGGTGGCAGTTCACTACTGAATAGCTCAATGGTTAGGTCCTTGACTGCAGAGCCAGAGGTTGGGAGTTTGATTCCTCACCAGTGCCTCCTTGACAGGAGCTGGACTTGATCATCCATAGGATCCCTTCCAGCTTTGCAGTTCTAAGATGATGATGGTAGCAATTTTCTCTACAAAAAGCAGAGCTGCTTGAGGGAAGAATGTCTATGAACGGGCACGCAGACAAAAGTGAGAGGGGGAAATGGACTCTATGTGAGTTGCATCAACACTTTCCCATATCCCCAAAGGGCAATGTTTGTGGCAAATCCAAAACCTTACCCAATATTCAGGACATATTTTTATTTGCAACGCAAGTACATTTTTACCAGCGGTGTCTATCAGTTTTCTGTAAATATGTTCCAAGGTGAATGAAATACTTGTTCACTTTTTCATTATGTGAACTCATCCTGTGGGGTTTGTTGATGAATGTCCTCC